AGTAACAAAGATCCTGTCTTTGTAGCTTTAAAAAGATTAGTATTCATTTATTAAGTAATTTAATATAAATTATATTTTTTATAATATCTTACTTAAATTTAAATTTTAGCGTTTTAAGAATATTATCTACAATATGTGATGCAATCTCTTTTGGATCAATTGGAGCATATTCATGAATACTAATAGTTTGTTTAAAGTTTTCTATATTTTGATGTTTCATGGTTTCCAAAATAGAAAAAAAATTTTCCATAGAGATACAGCTAATTTTTGCATCTGCTGCTTCACGTTTTTGAGCATACTGATTATTTTTTTTTTCCTGCATTCTGAACAGGTTTTACCTAGCTTGTTATTTTTTAAAAAGGATTGAAGTGGGCGAGGCTGATTACAACTACTACAAGATCTCTCTTCGGTCCCTTCAATCACTTCGATCACTTCGATCCCTTCCATTTCTTCGATCTCTTCGATCTCTTCGATCTCTTCAATCTCTTTGATCTCTTTGATCTCTTCGATCTCTTTAATATCTGAAAAGTTTTCCATAATGTTAAAAAAATATAGTAACTAGAATAGAGTATATGAATCTATTATCGAAATTGACAAATCTTATGTAATAATACAGAAAACGGAATTTTATTTTTATTTTGACGTTTTTTATTTAAGTAACTTTTTATTAATAATTTTGTTGTTAATTCAAAACTATAGACGAAATTTTTTACAAAAAACTGCTGCCTTTTATAAGATTACATTTTAAAATGCTAATCTATTTTTTTTTTAGGTTTCTCAATAGTTAAGGTCTTAATTATTATATCAAATGTAAGTTTCATTTTTTGCTTTCCATTTTGATATTGCCTCTTTACTTATCCTATCTTTTTTACATTCTCAATACAAAATCCATATTACTCCTGGGCAATTGGCGCCACATTTTACCACTACTGAAACCACAATGAACACTATGATAACTTTCTCAAATTCGGGAGTTGCCTAAGCCCAAATATTATTTTTCGTTACTACTGAAACTACATTGAATATTATCACGATTTTTTCAATTCAGGATCGTCTAAACCCAGTTAGTATTTTTTTTTACAGTTTTTCACTACTACTAAAACTACACTAAGCACTATTACAATTTTTTCAATTCAGTGATCATCCAAACCCAAGTAATTTTTTTTTTTACAATTTTTATTAGTAATTAGCATAAAAACGGTTATATGCGCTTATTCTATATTATCTTAGTTATGAGGCATGTTTCAGATAATTGTTAATGTTGAAATTAGTCAATTGTAAGTTATGATCTCCAACTATGTTACACTTTAATAGTACTTGGTTTTAGATAAGAATCGATTAAATATAATAGTAGTCATGTTTTATATATTATTAGCTTCACGCATAAAAAACTCTTAGAGTTGGTATGGTCTCTATTAATTGATCGGTTAGGTCATTATATGTACAGTATACTTTATATACTAATTTAATAACTATATATTATGTAAAAGAAAAAATTAAATTGTAGTATATAAATATATCTGCAATTA